GGCAGCTTTTATTCAGAACCTCATCTCCATGCCCTCCAGCCAGTGGAGGCAGCAGCATCAGCTCTTTTCACTGTGTGGCCGTGCCCCCGGTGCTCAGGATGGAAGCACACTGCAGTTCCATAGAGACCGATGGAGTCTACAGGTGAGGAAAAATGGAGTCACATCACCTCAGGAGTTTCCTTGTGCTCTCAGGATCTGTTATGAGACGAAACCAGCAGGAGGTTCAGTGCGGTGGACCAAAGATCAGGACAACAGGTTTGTTTCAGGATGCAAATCATCTGAATTATTCCAGATGTGTTAAAGATTGGCACATTATTTTAAAAAAAACAATAACTGGCAACTGGCATAAAATCTGCTCTGTTCAAAGTTACTGTGTAAGATACCGAGTGTGCTATGTCAGAATAATATAATACCGATTAATTCATTCACAGAAACACACCTCGGGCTATTTTATTCTCTCCTGTGTGGGGTATGCCTTACTTATGTCTGTGTTTCTATGTGCGTTTGGGCATTGAAGTGAGGGTTGTTTATAGTTTACCATTGTTTACCCTTCCAGGGTGTGTGTTTACACCGCCGGTTCTCCCATCAACAACCGAGCCCTCTTCCCCTGCCAGGAGCCGCCTGTTGCCATGTCAACATGGCAGGCAACAGTACGGGCCCCCAGTGAGTGCGTGGTTTTGATGAGTGGGGAGGAGCAGGCAGTACCTGCTGAAGACGGGGACACACGTAAGCTTTTCAAAAACCTCAATTGTATATGTATTTCTTTGTTTTATATATATATATGTGTGTGTGTGTGTGTGTGTGTGTGTGTACATTTGTAAACTTTTGAATATTACACAAATTTATTGACTACTAAACTGAAAAGAAGAGATTGGTATTAGATTTCATTACTTGGAATAAATGGGTCTGTAGTGTCCAGTGTTGAAGCTAAAAGCTATTATGGGAGCATGGACTATTGATGTGTTTGAGAGATTGGATTTGTTGGGTTAAATAAAAAGGGTACGTGTGCACCAAAGTATCGGCTGAAAGCTGGTACCAGCCATTATCAGCCTAATTCCCAAATAAGATAACATTTACCGATTGCCCACGTTTATCTGCGTGTCACCTCCAGTTTGAGCTGGCTAAGTCTTCAGATAGTGTGACAGTGAAGCTTTTAAAATGGCTTAGCTATGTATTTATTTATTTTTTGTCTGCCAGGCACAAAAAATAGGAATAAATAAAAACATAAACAAATAAACAGAAAAAAAATCAGCCTAATGCTTTTTAAAAAAACAACAACATCAATATCAGTGCTTCGAGAAAAGAGAGCATTGTTGAGGAGTACGAACTGCACTGAAAAAGGTCTTTGTATTTTATTGGAATCAGTAGAGAACATTTTTCAATAAATACAAATACAAACCTTTTAGAGCTCCACATTTCAGATTGGGTCAGTAATTCAAATATGTATGATGTCAGCATCTGTTCCAAACAAACCAGTGAGAACAGAGAAGGTTTACAATAAAGGATATGCTGTGCAAAAGCTCACAAAAGAAGTAGATGTAGTGATTAATGGGAAAATGTGTAAACATAAATGTAAATACGGTATATAAGGGAAAAACAGAGTTTGTGCAATTCTAATGAGGCTTAAAATCAATATTTGGTATGACCACCTCTTTATTCTTTATCACAGCCTGAACTCTCTTGGGCAATCTTTCTTGTAATTTCTTTAAGGAGTCTTCAGGAATAGTTCTTGAATGACATTCAAAGCCTTTCTTTGGATGTGTGCCTTTTTTTTAATCCGTTCTCCATTGAGATGATCCAACGCTGCTTCAGTAATGTTGAGGTTCGGGCTCTGGGGATTCCATCCATGGCTGATGGTGTTCCATTGTATGTTTTTCTCTCCTTTGTATGCTTTTACTGCATTAGCAGTGTGTTTGGGATCATTGCCATGCTGAAAAATGAAGCTGTTGCCAATCATATTCTTTCCAGATGGTATTGCATGGTGGATCGAAATCTGATGGTTGTACTGCATTCATTATCAGGATCCCCAACATCACTGGCTGAAATGGAGTGGCAAACCATGACAGAGCCTCCACTGTGTTTTACAGATGGCTGTCAAGACCTCTCTCCTGACTTCCTTTACAATTTGTAACTTAGCATACATCAGCCCTTTCTTCCTGTTGCCCTTTCTTAACAGCCACCCTGTGCCCATTTATGATGAGTCTCAGATCCC